TATTAAAGTTTATTTTTAGTGTTTTTAAATTACCAATTAAACAATGTTTTATTCAAAAATTCGAAGTGTGATTAAAATGGACATGACGCGTTTTTGGAACTTGTGAACGCAAACTTTCTCTGAAATTAATATAAAAGCTTTCCAAGTTTTATAGATAAAAATTTAGCAGAACATTTATTTTCACATTTTTTTGTTGTTACATAAAATTTAATTTTTTAATATTATAGTATTTAATTAAATGACATTATATTGATATCTATTCGTAATATTCTTTACAAATTAAATTTTGTTGATCCATATGGTTTAAGACTTGCTATGCGTGGCGAAAATGAACATGGTACGCTTTTTGTACTTTCAAACTTTTCTGAATTTTAGATAAAAGCTCAACATATAAAAGCTCCGAATAATTCTTTTCTTGCGATTCAAGGATTTCAACGTAGATAATTGCATTTTAAAATTCTAAGTTGGTATATGAATTGGAAAGTCAAGAATAGCATTAAAAATTGTAGTAATAATTATAGTACATGAATTGCTTTAATTTATAATTTTTTCTGTAACCCGAACAAATCTATATTTTGTAGTTTTTCTAAATATTCAAACGTATTTTATTTTTCACATTTTTTTAACATTTAAATTAATGATATTTATAAAATATTTGGAATTCGATTTATGGTGACCATTTTGCATGGAATTCAAGATTTTAGTTCCAGTTCGTTCTCGTTTATTATTATAGTTCTTTGAGTTATTTAAGTCTTGTTTCCAGTTTCTATCATTTCTACAAATTATAATTTTAATATTCAGTAAATATGTATGAAGAACCCATTGATAGTAGATAAAAATTACATCAGTGTGCAATAGCAAAAATTATAACTTGGTATAAGAACTGTTTTTGATATAAAAACGCATCGTACATTTGTTGGTTTTTGATTTTGTGCCTTCCTATGACTCTAAAAAAAATCCAAATTCGTATTTTTTCAATATAGTAACGTATTTCATTTCATCAAAATATTGGGATTTATTTGAAAAATATTTAAAAATAGAGTTATGATGACCATTTTGCATGTGATTGAAGCTTTTACTATCTGTTATCGTTCTCTATGAATATCATAGTTTTCTCAGTTCTAGAAATAAAAACTATTATTTGTTCAACTCATTGCATTCAAAAACGTTACATGATTAAGTATCATTTCCGATTTCCTTCAATTCAACAAATGATGTTTTATTTCTAGAATCTATTTCTTGCTTAACTCAATAGATATGTAAATATTACATCAGCATCATATGAAAATTACATCAGAAGCAGAACAACTACGTATTCCCTATGTGATATATTCTCAATATTTCTATTTACCCACATCTCCTGGTATTTCCTAGTACTAGTTAGTTACATTACATCATACGTGCCACGCTTGAAATAATCATAAAGTACATTCTTAGATTGTTCGTATGATATGCAACGTGCCCATCTTCCGAGTGGCGTCGATGGCGCGCAGGGTGCGATTGCTTATTTGCATTTTAATTGCATTCGTAATCATAAAACTGATTGAATGTGCTACGGCTAAGCAAGCATCAACTTCTCTGCAACCCTGCTCTCTGACACGTAGGATCGCGACACACTCGTTGGAAATTATCAAGTTATTGGTGAACGAAATATTTTGGACACCAAAATGGCAACAGATAAGAATCTTGCTACTCAAAAGCTTTGTGATTTGTGAGTTTATAGAATCGATATAAAAATATATTCGTGGCTACTATATTGTTAACACTTTCGCTACGAGAGTGTTTTTCGCAGAAGTGCCGCTGCTGTACAGAACAGCGTGTCCATTAGTGGTGCCACTGAACTGACCAACGGACAACAATATATTTTGAGATACTTCTATCATTATCAATAAAAATGTGTTGATATATTAAAATATAATACTGTTATCAAGTAGATGTCGTCTATGGACGACACTCGTAGCGAAAGGTTTAACCATTTAACAGACTATAAATTCGTAAGAGCTAGTTCTTGTACTTGCCGTTCATTTGTAGAGTTGGTGATGATTTCTTGCTTTATATCGAATTGTTTCCAATTAATTAAATTTCCTACTATTGTCATTGCTTTTTAACGTTACATTATTATTACTCTGGATTTACAAATCCACCAAATAGAGATAGTCCAGTCATTTGGTCATTTTGCCGGTACAGTACTCCGGGAATTCTGAAAATTGGTAATCTTATAGATTTCGAGGTGCTCTTTACGAAAATCAACTTTGCCACCTCAAATTTGAACGGCAAGTTGCCGCCATATTGAAAAATGACGTCAAAAAACAGCTTTTTTAAAATATCTCCTTTCTGGCTCATTCTGCGATAAAAGTATCTATGTACGAATTAAACTAGATAAAATTTCCTACAATTCTTTAGAAAACCGTTTTTTTGTAAAATTGATAGTTTGAGAGTATGGCCGCCTCAAAGTCTTTGCTGCTCTCGCCGTAGTATCAAATCTGTCCATATATGACAGCACTTCGAACTTGACCACATTCCTTCTAATAAATAAATATTTTCAATGTTAAATTAAGCGAATAAGATCTAGAAATAAATTAATTCAAATATTTTTCTGTTTTTTGGTGATTTTTTAACGCTTCAAGCTACTTGAAGCTGTAAGGTGCTACTTAAGCTATAAGTATACCTATAGCTACTTTGCCATTGAAGTGTTAAAAAATTAGCAAAAAAAACGAAAAATATTTAAATTATTTTATTTCTAGATCTTATTTGCTCAATTTAACATTGAAAATATTTATTTATTAGAAGGAATGTGGTCAAGTTCGAAGTGCTGTCATATATGGAGAGATTTGATACTACGGCGAGAGCAGCAAAGACTTTGAGGCGGCCGTACTCTCAAACTATCAATTTTACAAAAAAACGGTTTTCTAAGGAATTATAGGAAATTTTATCTAGTTTAATTCGTACATAGATACTTTTATCGCAGAATCAGCCAGAAAGGCGATATTTTAAAAAAGCTGTTCTTTGACGCCATTTTTCCAATATGGCGGCAACTTGCCGTTCAAATTTGAGGTGGCAAAGTTGATTTTCGTAAAGAGCACCTCGAAATCTATGAGATTACCAATTTTCAGAATTCCCGGAGTACTGTACCGGCAACAGCCTTTTTTTGCACCAAATGACTGGACTAAGAGCTAACTGGAAGTATGTTGTTTTTCGAGTTTCGATTTTGAGAGATTATAATGGAGTTAAAAACATAGATTGAGTCTCATACTATTTTGTTCCATGATTTTTGTTAATTTGGCTTTTTTACATTAGCTTAATATTTTAAAAATCTAAATAATCGTCATTAATTACGAAAAATTCACAACTATCTAGTTAATGAAATTGACAAAAGTTGAGTGGCTAAGTAAAATCTCAAAATTAAGGAAATAAAGATTCAGTCAAGAATTAGTATAACATGCAAAACAAATTGAAAAATGAGTGGTTGAAGTAAAAACCCAAAATTAAGGTAGAGATTTATTTAAATAATCTTGGATTTAAAGTCGCATCGTTTGAGTCTTATTTTATTAAGTTGAAAGAGCTTTTTATCTATTTGGCTCTTGTTCGAACTCTTAAAATATTTTTCTACAAATTTGAGAAAGAAAACCGAAAATTAAGGAAATAAAGATTTATTCTAAAATTTGTATAGCATGGAAAACAAATGGTAAAACGACGAGTGGTTAAAGTGAAAACCCAAATTTAAAGTAGAGAAGATTTATTTAAATAATCCGTATGATTTGAATTCTATTTTATTAAGTTGGAGGAAATTTTAATATATTTGACTCTTGTTCAAACTATTTGAATATTCTTTGCAAATTTGAAAAAGAAAAAACAGAGCGTCATATTTATTAAGAAGAATTAACACAGCGTGCAAAAAAAACTTATCAGATGGAGTCCTTACCGAGTTCTATTAAATGGCTTTAAAAAATTCGACGAAAGTTGAAATTTGGGCTCACATACACACATACACACATTTGCCAATTTTGATGTCAAACTATTTTGAATAACTCGGAACGTCCAGAAAAAAATAAAAATTGTATCCGCACACACACACATATATATACACACACATGCATACATACATAAAAATATTTCTAAGGTATGCCAAAATGTTCGGAAACATTTGAAACGTAAAGATATATAAAAATATTCATTTTCGATTTTGTGGCAAACACAAGTTATTCAAGTAATGAATGTTTTCATTACATTACTACATTTTTTATACTCATTACACATTTTTCTTAACGGGTGATTTTGTCACGAGTACGAATATGAAAAAAATCATGAATTTCAGCACTAAATTTAATGCTTTTTTTCTGAAACTTATGAATTTAATACATATCTAAATACAGTAGAACCACCCGTTAAGACGATTACGCTAATAACGATATCTCGCATAATACTACCACTCACGCCCGTTCCTGCACTTTGAAACATGTCTCTATTTTGTATCATGTCTTTTCTCGCTTAAGACGCGTTTTTGGTTCCATTTCTGGAGAATTTTCTTCAAGAAGTCTTTAAATTTTTGGAGAATTCGAATTTATGAAATCCAATACAATGTGCAATGTACTGTTAACTAAAATTGTTTTTCAATATGAACTCTACCATCGCTATCATCCTCTATCAAATAAGTTGTTAGAATTCGCGCGTCTGCGTCCGTTTATATGTGCACATGTGGGTATGGGGGTGTTAGCCGCAAGAAATCGGTAATATCCGTCCGGTTTTATATACAATCGGATCCGATAATGACGTCGTAGATATCGTGGTACGCCGTATATCATATGCCAACATGAACTCCGCGAGAATAGGGTGCATATGAGAGAGGGATTCTCGGAATCAAATTCACAATTTGTCGAAAAAATAAAATAAAATAAACTCGATAAGTAACTCATATTGCAGTTATAGAGAAGTTAACCAAACCTAATGCGTCTCACAAGTTTTTGGACTTTAGTCTAAATAGATAGTTTGCAAATTCCTACCTGTCGATGATGACTGGATCTGACGGAGTTTCATTCCGGTTTCCACAACTTTTTTTATCACAGCACCGACTGCAAATAAAACCACATTTTATTTAATTCATAAAACAAAACAAGTCAAAAATTATTTTACTTTTTGTATCCTTTATTACCTGCACATGACTTCGTGCGTTAGCAAGACTCTGCACATTTCTGGATTTTTGTCCTGTCCTTCATACATGATGGCCTGTAATAGAAATATTTATAAAATGATATATTTAAATAGATATATTTTAATGTTTACGTTATCAGTATGATCTATAGTAATTATCTTTATGCTGTCCCCTAACGCTATGGTAATAACAAAATTATGTATATTACAAAATTTATTCCTCGAGCAATTTATGCTTAGGATGTTATCAAATTGGTATCTCTAACCCCTTTCATTTTTTTTGCTTTTTGATTTAATCATTGTTTTAATTTAGATTTATGTAATTAATGTATGTTTTTATTGTTATTAATGTGGTGAAGCAATTTCCATAGGAGAGAGTAAATATAAGTTGTCAATTTTTTTTTGAATATGTTATAAAATTATTTTTTTTTTAACTTTTTTCTGCGATCTGTTTATGCAAAAACAATAAGCTACCAAGATACATGAGAAATACAATATTGATTAAAATTTAGTAGATACACTTGACGGCGTATCTACTAGAAGTAATAAAATTGATTTAATTCAGGAGCCAATTCTTGGACAAGATAAGTGTTATGTTACGGGTCTATAATCGTATGAGTTGGTAGTCACAAACTGTCAAAAAACTATGTCTTTGCTATTTGATCGAGCATTTTGCACATAAAAAAGTAATTTATCAAAAATTAAAACGTCTTAAAAGTATAAAATTATGTATTGAAATCTCTGATCGTCTTACAAATTCTACAATGTCATGGCACGTATTTTACTTTGTGTTTCTACTGCCGATCAAACTCCACTCATTGTCAACTTGTGTTGCCACACCACTCCCTAAATCGCTCGGTTGCAAAAAAATTGACAGTTTGTGACTGCAAATTCATACAATTAATAGACCAGTTATACCCCTTGGCGTAAATTGGCCTCTAAGTTTTACATTAGTAAATGTAAAATTCTATTCCTTCATTTTTTATTCTTATTATACAGGCGAACTTGAAACCTCCTTAAATTCTTCATGATACCATCCAGCCAAATACATCATGTTCGAAATTTATTGACATTCGACACTGTGGCAAATGTTGCGGCCCATGTGAGATATTGGTCATACGATGACGTACTGTGGCATCAAAAATGAATAATTCGCGAGTAGCTGGCTCTATACATTTTTTTTTATTTTGATAAAGCGATAGTGCATTCGTTCGCCGAGGGTAAGGGTCTAAATTATTCCAATCGTCGGCATATCTGTTGATTTGAACTGCTCGCACGTGCTCTATCGAGCTTCGCACCCAGCGTACGCGCGCGTGCCGTAATTAGCAATTAGATCTTCAGCGTGAGCATAATTTTTGTTACCCCTTGGTATAAAAACTAGTTTTATTCGTGTCATTTTGTTTTTTGTAACATTTTATTTAATTGGCGTGAAATATTTCAATTGCCCTGAACGCCGCAATTAGAGAATGCAATGGCTAATAAAAAAATTTGATATTAATACCGGCGTTTCGGTATTTTTGCTTCTAAAACCGGTAATAAAATACCGGTATTAATTCTATTCAAAATTTTCTGTTTTTTTATTTTTTTTAATAACAATCTGTCACACTTATGATATTTAGTAATTGTTTTGACTTTTTTTATTTACAAATAAAAATGGATAAACAAAATTGAAAGTTTAGGCCTGTTCACACGACGCTTGTTTTGTTGCTTTTTTAGCCCGTTGGCTTACCATGCTGGTTTTTAAGTAGTCAAAATGACGACGTATCGATCTCTATTTGTTTCCAGCAAGTGAGATTTTGATATTAGAACGTGCGATATTTTTGTGGATGGATCTTATTAGACCTATGAATAAAGCCCGAATCGCACGATATTTGTTTTCTAGTCTGGCAACATAGCATGCTTGATTTTTAAATGTCATTTGTTTTAGCTTACTTGATTTTTTAATTGCGATTTGTTTTGGCTTGCTAGATTTTGGAGTGAAATTTGTTTTGGCTTGCTAGATTATCAAATATCAAATATTATAAATCACATGTTAAAATACTGCTTCTCTATTCGTTCGATAAAGCCCTAATCACACGACGCTTGTTTCGTTGCATTTTTGGTCTGCTAGCTAGCATGCTGGTTGTCAAATCAGCAAAATGTCGCAATAGAAAAGTTCGAACGTGAGCTATTTTTGTCGATGAATTTGTTCGTTCGAACCAATAGCGGGGCAGCATTTGGTCATTTGATTTATAATATTTAATAATCTAGTAAGCTAAAACAAATCACACTTAAAAATCAAGTATGCTATATAGCACGCCCAGAAAACAAATGTTGTGTGATTCGGGCTTTATTCATAGCTCTATGATCCAACCACAAAAAACAACGAAACAAGTCTCGTGTGAACAGGCCTTTACTTGTATAAATATAAAAATAAACCTAATCAATTATATTTTATAATTCCTGAGATTTTTTTAGATTTTAAGATTAAATTACAATATGTTTTTAATAACAAAAGCGAGATTTAGTAATTATTATGATTAATACGTTTAAAGTTAGAACAAAAATGAAAATTACCCTGAGGTAAGGTAAGCTTTATTTTGTTGATTCTAAATATTTATGGTATGGAATATTTCGGCGCCAACGTCACTTCAAAAAACTGTTTCATTTTTACATAATAGCAAACAAACATTATTTATTAGTTTGATTTCTATCCATTGTGATACGATACAAAATCGTTCTAAATATTGACAAAAGCCATATGGTTCCTGTGCAGTCAGGCGTATTTCTCAGGTTGTCAGATAGAAAACCTAACCCAGAAACCGCACAGAGTCAAAAAACTATCTTAGATAACAGGGTCTTTCTGACTCAGCTTCATAACATACGAGTAACATTACAGCTTATGTGTAAAACGCCTGAAGGCACAGCAAATAGATGACATTTTGACAGTATTCAGTATAATTCAGTAGCATAATGCATGCAAGTTTGAATAGTTCCAAGAAACTGCATCAACTAGAACTAATTTTTCAATACCGAAAATTCCGGTATTTTTTAACTAAATACCGGTATTAACAACACTGAGAATTTAGTCGGTACACCGGTATTGGATTCCGTAACCGCAACGCAATTGTACATTTGAGTTTTTCAAATCCTTAATATGCGTGAAGCTGTATTTGTTATACCGGGACCTCAATAAAAAATTTCAATGTGAAAATTGATGCACATTGAATGGATTATAAAATAATCCCAGTTGTCAGTTTCACGAAAGATAATTTTCTCTTACGCAAATTGATAATTAAAACCGTGTTGAATTTACTCGACGCCTTATAAAACACAAATAAAACTGGTTAGCCATCAGCATTTAAAGTGTAATTAATTATATAAAATCTGTAATAATCTCTCTCGCATTATGCTTAACCACCGTTGAAAACTTGCGAAAATGTAATTATAATTTAAAATCCTCTCAGAAAGCGAAGGAAAAATTTCGCGAAGAGAATTAATTTATTCATATGCCACTTCGTAAGGCAGTCCATAGTTGGTGTATGTTTAAAAAGTCGTTATAATTAGTAGCTCAACTTCTTAAACGTAACCTCTTTCTATGCTATGGCTTCCTTTATACAAAGTTTTAAACCTACTGTGTTTGCTATTCATATTACTTTTATTATACTGTATATCAGATAATAAGAAATCTTGCCCGTGGCAAACAAATAATGCAGTATCAAAGGCAAAAAGTTTTTATTATTTCATATAAACGACCTCACTTCTATTTACCGTGCGAAATAAATTATTTTAATTACGTTAAGAATTTTTAAGCAGAATCAAAGTTTGAATAGAATTGTTTTGTTTTATTTAAGAATCATATTTGACATGCAATAAGATTTTATTGTGAAGCATTGTTTTATATTTGGGAATGGTTGGCGGGTTGTTTCATCATATTCCCTAAAATATAATAGGTTGGTTAGAAATAGCAATTGTCTAATATATCGCTTACATTTATTTTCACAATCATTATTTCTATATAATAATTAGATACTTGATTAAATATCTAAAGAAATATCAAAATATTAGTTTAAATTTTTGAAAACAATCGATTTTTTTGTTAATTTAAAGAACTAGTTCTGTCTAATTAATGGTACTAGAATAAAATCATACAATGCATTTGTACAAAGCTTGGCAAAAATGAATGAATTTATGCATCAATTTTATACGAATTTTGTAAGGCAAACATTTTTGTTACAATTAATTATTTAATGTTTTGAAAATATATAAAAAACTAAAAATTAAAAATGGTCAAAATGTTTTAATAGTAGTAGGTGATAAAGTGGGGGGCCAAAAAAATTTGGCCAACAATCTGAAGAAAAAAATGTATATGTTAATGTTGCAACTGTATGAACTACGGACAAGTTAAGGAAAAGTTTTTTCACAAAATAGCGACTGTTAAAAAATACTTTTACTTTTTTTTATTGATATTCTCTAATTTTTTAAAAATTAGTAAAAATCGAAATTTGAAGATGAGCGTAGTTCACACTAAAGAGAAGTCCATAAAGAAGTTAAGAACTCGTATTGAAAAACGAGTAAGGAAACAAAATGAGATTGTTTTGCTATCTCTAGCTATATCTCCGAGAATAATTTTAATTATATAAAATTGTTTTGTTCTTATACTTTTAAATAGTTAATCTTTGAAAATATCCAAAATCACGAAATCATTGTCTTAAAAATTCTAGACCAGAATACCTTCTTAACGCCATTAAATTTATTGTACTGAATAAGTTTGATTCTTTTAAGTCTATATTTGGAAGTTGTATCATATAATTTATCTGCAAAATTTTTGCTATAAATATCAACATTTTATTTGTGGTTTATAGATTTTTTTTATTTTTTCTGTAAGGGCTCGCCTATAGAAAAATGGTTAAGAGTGATGGGACTTGATTCAGAGGTCTCGGGTTCAAGATTTGGTTCGAGCTGCCTGTTGTCAAGCAGTATGGACAACTGCTTTCACTTCGAAATATAGATAGCAATATGTTTCGAAATGAAAATAGCCCTTGTCTGGCATTGCTGCACCAATAAAAAGTCCAGCCAAATTATATTAATTCTAA